TTACCAAAACCAACCGACCAACCAACCAAACGACCAACCAACCAACCTACCAACCAACCTACCAATCAACCAACCATCCGATCAACCAACCTACTAATCAACCAACCATCCGACCAACCGACCGACCGACCAACCAACCAACCTACCAACCGACCAATCAGGTACTACGAATTTGAAGTGATCACAGTTGGCTTCATGAAAGTTGGATGGGCGCGATCGTCATGTGAGCCTGGATGCGAGTTGGGATTGGATGGAACCAGTTATGCCTTTGATGGATTTTCCGTGAGTCATTGATGTTATATTATTGCTTAAGGATAGAAGCAAAATGGTAATAATGATAAAATGGATGACCATTGGAACACCTAGGGACGGAAGTGGCACATGGGGTCTGAGTTGTATGGGAAGATCTGGCAGAAGGGGGACATCATTGGGTGCATGTTGGACATCACCGATCGAACCATCAGTTAGTCCATTGCAAGAAAGTTTGTCAAGAACTAGACTATAAATAGACGCATGTATTTAAACAAAGTATCCAAAACAAACACTTGCACACAAACAAATCTTTAAAAACTTTTCTACACAAATGTTCAGCTGGCAAACATTAGTATAAATACATAACCCACACACACTCACACGCACGTACATACACACACACTCCTGCACATCAGGTTTCTCTCTGAACGGAGAGTTGATGATGGACAGGATGGGACAAGAGATCGCCTTCAAAGGCATTGACGTCTCGGAACCTTACGTTCCCGCCATTTCTCTGGGAGCCAATCAGCATGCGAGAGTCAATTTTGGACAGGTCAGAAACATTTTTTTTCATCACATCAGGCAGTTTTTTTGTTAAAAAATCCTGAATATGTGTCTACATTTTTTTGTATAAAGTTTGTTAGCTGTAATTTATATTACAAAATAAATAGCAATGAAATGTTATGAAACCTCGCGACGACACACAGGATGTCTTCTCGCTGAAGTACTTCACATGTTGTGGTTTGCAGGAGGGTTACGAGCCTTTCTGTGTGTGAGTCTTCCAACTTCACTTTTTCTTAATTCATTACTTGCCATTTGTTTTTGATATAAAGAGTTTTTTGATCACCATCGTCATCATCATCGTCATCATCAATTTTTTCGTCATAATCACCAACATCACCATTACTATCTCCACCACCCTCACCATTATTACCATCGTAATCATCGTCACGTCATCATCGTCGTCTTCATCATCATCATCATCACCATTGTCTTCATCATCATCACGCCACCTCCAGCAACATGACTCGTCCCATGCCCCTGTGGTACGATAAGGAGCAGGCCATGTTTGAAAATGTCCTGAAAGACCACCCAAGACTTGAAGTCGTCAGAGTACCAGGCGGGTGCGTTTTTTTATTTGTTTTAATTTTTAATTAAGTTTCAGTTAAATTTTTAGACCACTTTTCAAAAATTCAACTATTCACCGTGCTTTCGATTTAGAGAAAAGTTGCAACTAGGTAATAATATTCGTTTGTAACAAGATTAACGTAATTATCATTTTCATCATAATTATCGAAATTACTATCATCATCAAGATGAATACCGTCACCACCACCATCATCACCAATACAACGATCATCATCCTTATCACCACACAACGATCATCATCATCATCAGGAGCACCTCGCCACCATGTTT